CACACGTTTTTATGTTAAACTCACTCTTGATCACATCTGATGATGATTGATGATCCTAGCAAACTGAACAGAATTTTTATTCCCGATTGCTTTGCATTACTTCGGAGACATGTTAATGTGCACAGCTGTCAATCAATATTGGTGGGTGGGGGGACCGCACTCCTACGTAAAGTTGCGGTCGATCTGAAAACCGCTCCAATTGGTCCACCCTTTTTATGTTGTTAAATTTGAAAAAAAAAGGACTGGGTGTGTTTATATCACCCCAATATGACAATATATAAACTATACTTACACACATGTCTGTCCAAACAGCTTAAAAAGTAGATTTTTCACCATAGGTGCCCTTTAATGTCAAGTCCTGTATGTATATATACAGTTGAAGTCAGAATTATTTGCCCCTTCTTTTTAAAATGTTTTACACATGATTTTTAACAGAACAAAGAAATTTTCACAGCATGTCTGATAATGTTTTTTTCTTCTGTAGAAAGTCTTTTTTTTATTTTGGCTAGAATAAAAGCAGTTATTATTTTTTAACAACATTTTAATAACAAAAGTATTAGCCACTTTAAGATAATTATTTTTCAATAGTCTACAAAAATAATCATCGTTATACAATAACTTATACAACTTATACATTATACAATAACTTGCCTAATTACCTGCTTAGTAAACCTAATTAACCTAGTTAAGTCTTTAAATGTCATTTTAAGCTGTATAGAAGTGTCTCGAAAAATATATAATCAAATATTATTTACTGTGATCATGGCAAAGAGAAAAGAAATCAGTTATTAGAGATGAGTTATTAAAACTATTATGATTAGAAATGTGTTGAAAAAAATCTTCTCTCTGTTAAACAGAGATTGGGGAAAAAATAAACAGGGGGGCTAATAATGCTGACTTCAACTGTATATATTTATGTATATATATATATATATACTATAATTTATATTTTTCTACCCTATTTTTATGGTATTAATGTATTTTCCACCATATATTAAGTTCTGGCGACCACATCTGCCTGTTTTTCACTGTAAATTTTACTTTTTTTTTCACTGTAATGTTTTTATTTTAAGTTTTTTTTCCCCATTTATTTATCCTTTTGAATCATATTATAATATCTTGATTAGTCTTCTGACAACTTTTAACCTAAAACTGTGGAAAAAGTAACTTTTAATAACATTTTTTATAGTTTACAGTCTTATTTTTTCTGGGGTGGTGTTGAATATTACACTACGAAAACCCTGTAATAAGCTGCCAGTACATTTTCTGTCATTTCACAGACATATTTCTCTATATATTATTCTTATACATTATGGGATTTCAAACTACTAAAATGTCAAACTAATAAAAGTCACTTAGTTAAACTCTAGAGTTTAATTTTCAACATTAAAAGTCGACAGAGCAGAGATCAACATCCCATAATGCCATTTACAACCAGAAATAAACAGACACAAAATACAGAAACTGTTAATTAACAGATGTTATTTACAGTGTGTAAATCTAATGAAATCTTGCATGTACTGATAATCGACCTCATGACCTTGCCATTTTTGCATCTGTTTGAACGACAAGGAGAACAAACTCATCAGTCAAAGCATGCCAGCGATGCCAAGGTCATTGATTTAGTTGCTAGAAATCACAGAAATGTATAAAATGTATACATAAAACCCACAGTGAGGCGTCTGACAGAAACATAAAACACACACAAACTTACACACATCTCAAAATCTGTGTGTTCACAGGACTATATGTTCTGTCTTTACGTTTCCCCATGAGTTTGTTTGTCCTTGTGCACCAGAGGTCAGAGTAACCGGACAATAAAGCGACGCCTGAGCAGATTTGGCTGGTACAGATCTGTGCTGCTCAGCAAAGCTCTTTAATATGCCACCCGTGTGTGTGTGTGTGTGTGTGTGTGTTAGTCGTCACCTTAAGCTGTGAGGTGGAAACACACACAGAAACCACATCAGTTCAGTGAAATTCAAGCCTCGCTGGCCTTCACCTTCACGCACACATACACACACACACATCTCATTAGAGCTGCACACACAAACACCTACACACACATTATCTCTCCCATCGCATTTCCATATCAGCGGCAGATGGGTGTCGGGTGCTGATTAAATCTATTTTGGATGAGGAAGGTATTGTTTGATATCGAAATAACGATGTCATATTAGCTGCAATGCATGATTGAAGAAGAGCATCACATTTCTTGCAGTTAAAGGGATAGTTCATCCAAAACTGAACATTTCCCTCTTTATTTACTCGCACTCAAGTGGATGTAAACATTTATGAATTTCTGTTAAACTCGAAATGAGATATTCTGAAGAATATTGGAAAGCTGTAATCATTGTCATTAATAAAAAACAAAAGCAACATAGGCTCATTCTGAAAATGTACCCCTACATACATATCTAGAGATCACATATTATGCAGCCAGAGGTACCTATGGCTGCATTTTGTCTTTAAAATGAACACAATGTGGTGGTATAATGCCGTTCCTGGGTTTAGGGAAGAAGGAGGATGGGTCAATTAATGCTTTTGAAAACACTAATGGTTGGGTTTAGGGAAGTGGGTGGGCGGATAAATTGGTGCTTTTGAAAACACTATCGGCTGGGTTTAGGGAAGGAGAAGTATGGGTCAATCAGTGCTTTTGAAAACACTAAGGGTTGGGTTTAAGAAAGTGGGTGGGCGGGTCAATCTGTGCTTTTGAAAACACTATCGGTTGGGTTTAGGGAAGGAGAAGTATGGGTCAATCAGTGCTTTTGAAAACACTAAGGGTTGGGTTTAAGAAAGTGGGTGGGCGGGTCAATCTGTGCTTTTGAAAACACTAAGGGTTGGGTTTAAGAAAGTGGGTGGGCGGGTCAATCTGTGCTTTTGAAAACACTATCGGTTGGGTTTAGGGAAGAGGGTGGGCGGGTCAATCTATTCTTTTGAAAACCCTATCGGTTGGGTTGGGGGAAGGCGGTGGGCGGGTCAATCAATGCTTTTGAATACACTATCGGTTGGGTTTAGGGAAGAAGGAGGATGGGTCAATCAGTGCTTTTGAATACACTATCTGTTGGGTTTAAGGAAGGAGGATGGGTCAATCAGTGCTTTTGAAAACACTAGTGGTTGGGTTTAGGGAAGAAGGAGGATGGGTCAATCAGTGCTTTTGAAAACACTAATGGTTGGGTTTAGGGAAGTGGGTGGGCGGGTCAATCGGTGCTTTTGAAAACACTATCAGTTGGGTTAGAGGAAGGCGGTGGGCAGGTCAATCAGTGCCTGTGAAAACACTATCGGTTGTTTTTAGTGAAGGAGGAAGGTGGGTCAATCAGTGCTTTTGAAAACACTATCAGTTGGGTTAGAAGAAGGCGGAAAAGGGTGGGTCGATCAGTGCTTGTGAAAACACTATTGGTTGTTATTAGTGAAAGAAGAGGGTGGGGTCTATCAGTGCTTTTGAAAAACTATTGGTTGATAGTATTGATTTGGTTGGCATAACCACAGGAACGCCAACAAAAGCATCATATTCATTTAACAAATAATAGAAAATATTACAGAAAAAAATAAGTAAATATAGACAATAGAAAATTAAATGCAATCAATTAAAGTCAGATCTGGAGGTTGTTTCAATAGTCACCACTTATATATAATATATATATATATATATATATATATATATATAATATTTTAGCTCTTTTAAATTGTTTTATTAATTATGAATTTATTTTTTATTCGATTTTTTTTACAATGTTTATTATTTGAAAAAATGAAAAAAGAGAGAGGGTTGGGAATTCTACGGGGAATTTTATTTTTTTATTTTTTTATTTATTTATTCATTTATTTATTTATTTTAAAAATTAGCTTGCTTGACAGCATTTGTGTGAGTATAAGCGGTTAATTTATAATTTATACATTATTATTAACTCTGAGGGTCAAGGAGAAATGACTGAGGAGCATGAGAGGGTTTAACTTCAATCAGTCTGACAAAAAAAAATCTCTCTGTGGTGTTTAGTCAAAGGAAATTGTTAAAAGTGAACAATAACAAGTAGAAGCCCCCAGAGTAATTCTCATCATTATTAATCCGCCTTCGGATGAACTGTGGCTAACCTGTCGAGAACAAACAGTCCTTATTGATGATTAAGTAAATTTTGCAATTAAAGTAAAAAAAAAAAAAAAAAAAAGCTAATTTGGAGCAGAGGTGATAAACACTTGAAACTGATGTGTGTAGGTTTTGTATGCTATTAAGATACTTATTAAAGTTGAAAGTCTGAAGTGTGACACTGTTAAGCCATTTATATGCTGATTAGAAATACGTGACAATAGACGTTATCTACTTTTCTGTAAAACTTGAAATGCATTCCAAACACATTGCATTGGTTTTAATGTTCAGGTGCTATAAAAGCCAAGCAGTTATTGTTCAATGCAGATGCAGGATTATTACCATTTTCTCACCCAGCAATTGCCAGCATTTTTTAAATAATTTTAACAAAACTTTCACGTCCCCCTGAATATTCTGATGTGTTAAAACCTGCACATTTGTTAAGTGTTGGAACAATAACTCTTTAATTAATTTTGCACATCTTGTGACCAGAATTACTAAAATCTTCTTAATAATTTGATACAATATTATATATACAGTTGAAGCCAGAATTATTAGCCCCTGCTGAATTATTAGCACTCCTATTATATACAGACTTTCTCCAGAGAAAAAAATATTATCAGACATACTGTAAAAATTGTTGCTGTTTTTATTATTATTATTTATTATTATTATTATTATTATTATTATTATTATTATTATTAATTTCATCATCATCATCATTATTATTATTATTATTATTATTATCAAGTTTATTATTATTATCATTATTGTTATTATTATTATTCTTTATTTCATTATTATAGATCGGAA